GCTCTCTCCTGCAGGGGTTTGCCTGGGCTTTCTCTCAGGTGGCTGCGAGGGGGGAGCTGAGAGAGCTGCCTGCTCCTGGCGAGGGGGCAGGAGACAGGCCTGCCGCCTCCCCGTCCCCGTCAGTGGCGCCCTGGCTCTCAATCATTCCTCTGTTCGGTGTTTGCTCTCCCTCCAGCTTCCCCCGCGCTCTCCGCCCCGCTCGTCCCAGCTCCAGGACTCGGTTGCCATGGCACTTGGCTCAAGGAGAGCCCCTTCCTAGGACTGCAAGAGCCGCGCTGGGAACAGACTGTCCAGCATGGCTCTGGCACGCGTCCCGCCCGCCCCGGAAACGCCACATCTGCGGCCCCCTGCCTCCTGGGGGGCTGGCGGGGAGCAGGGCCCGGAGGGACGCCCACTGCTGCCTGGAGGGCGCTCAGAGGTCTCCCAGGGTCTGTGCCTGGGTTGCAAAGGAGGCCCGGTTACATGCCCGCCCCTGACACCGGGCTCCCAGTGCAGCTTTCCCACCCTGCCCCCTTCTGAAGCTTTGGGGCCAGAGGCCGTGCTGGGGCGGCACTGTCTCCCCAGGCTCTATCTGAGCAGGAGCCAGGGCTGGGCTGTGGCTCTGTGCCCCATGCTCAGGGGCACCAGAATGGCGGGTAGGGGAGGGATAAGGGGCCACACCCTCCACAGGCTCAGCTCCCTGCCCCTCCTTTGCCCCCCAGTGCTCCACCCCTGGATACGTGGGTCCTCCAGCTACCTGGGATGGGATTTGGGGGGCAGTGACACAGCTGGGGGTCCCTCGCCCCAGGCAGGTGGAGGGACACAGGCTCCCGCACCTGGCTACGACTTGCTGCTTGGCCGGGGGGAGGCCTGGGGAGAAAAGGGGTCTGGTTGGGGTCTCATGATCCCCCCATTGTAGGAAGAATCTGTCACCCCGGCCCCTGCAGCAATACAGAGGGGTGACCTGCCCTTGACCTGCTAGAAGTCTGCACCTGAGCCCATAGCCAGAGGCGGCTCCTCACTCCACGCTGGTCTAGCGGAGCGCTGGTGCTGGCTGGAGGAGCCGGGGGCCCTGGGCTCTCTTCTGGCTCCAACCCTTAAAGCCATTGCAATTGGCTTCCAGCGTTTCTTTCTCATGGCGCGGGCCAGCGGCTTCCCTCCAGCAAGCCCCCGTCCCCAGGGATTGCGGCTACCCCGGCTTTGCACCAGCGTGCCGGGAGCAGAGCCTTGCCCCTTGCTTGGCTAGTTCGGGGTTCCTCCAGCGCTCTAGATTGCCTCTGTGACGTAGTGGGGGTACCTGGCTGGTTTCTATGCTGCTGGCTCTGGGGTACCCCCCCATGGCTGCAGTTGGTACCGTGCCCAGCAAAACAGGATGAGTCATTATGCAAAGGGTGTCTCAACCTGTCTGACCAGCCATTCCCCATGGAGAGGAACAAAGGAAGGTGAATGCTGCCCTGGCTGGGGGGCAGGGCTGGAGGAGAGTGAGTTAGTTTCGGCCTGGAAAGCAGGGGAGAAGGAGCTGGGGAGGGGGCTGGGACTCCCCCATCTCAAGGGGGGCACTGAGGCCTCTTAGCCCCAGTTCCTGTAACCAGCTGACATCTGTGCTGTGCTATATGCTGGAGAAGCAATAAACCACCCTCAATTCTACCGGCTGGGGGACTTTGTTCGTGCCATTTCGGGGTGCAGGAGACGGGGGACCCCAACGCGCCGTCACAGCCTCTTCCTGGTAAATGCCTACGAGCAGATGGGGAAGGGGCTGTGTAACTGCCAGGGCCAGGCAGCCTGAGCTGCAAGGATCAGCAGTGTGCTTGGAAATAGGCATCACTCCTTGTCTTGGGAAGGCTGCTCTGTGCCGATCAGGCCTCAGCTGGAGCATTGTGTCCAGCTCGGGGCAGCACAACTCAGGAGAGATGTGGGGATGTTGGAGAGGGTCCAGAGAAGAGCAACAAGAATGATGCAGGGTCTGGAGAACATGAGCTCTGAGGCAAGGCTGAAGGAACTGGGCCTGTTTAGTTTGGAAAGGAGAAGACCGAGAGGGGGCATGATAGTGAAGTACCTAAAGGGTGTGTCAAAGAGGAGGGGGGGAAATTGTTCTCCTTGGCCTCTGAGGATAGAACAAGAAGCAATGGGTTTAAAGTGCAGCAAGGGAGGTTTAGGTTGGACATTAGGAAAAACGTCCTGCCTGTCCGGGTGGTTAAACACTGGAATCAATTGCCTGGGGAGGTTGTGGAATCCCCATCTCGGAGATATCTAAGGGCAGGTTAGTCAGACAACTCAGGGATGATAGATGGTGCTTGGTCCTGCCATGAGGTCAGGGGGCTGGACCCGATGTCCCCTTGAGGTCCCTTCCAGCTCTAGGGTTCTAGGGTAAGTGACTGGCTCTAACCAGTCCTCACTTAGCCAGCACAGCCCCACTGGCCTCCGTGGGGTTGCCCCAGCTCCTGTGTAATGCGCAATAAGCTTGCAGACTGCAGCCGGCCAGGAGAGGAGGTGCAGCATTTCATTAACTGCATACGCAGCTAGCTAAGCCCCTGTCGCATCAGGCTTCTGGAGACCTCTGGGCTTCCCCAGAAGCTGACCAAGGGATTAGCCTGTCAGTCCCAGTCCCACAATAACACGAGCCCGCCTTAACCACCCTGGTGTCTCTTCCCTCCAGGTCTACTGGAAGGTGTCAATATCACCAGCCCGGTTCTCCTCATCCATGGCACAGTGGGCAGGCCTGCCCTGCTCTCCGTGAGGTACACCAGCACCAGCAGCGATAAGCCTGTGGTCAAGTGGCAGCTGAAGCGAGATAAGTCGACCACGGTGGTGCAGTCCATTGGCACCGAGATCATTGGCAACCTGCGCCCCGAATACAGGGACCGGATTAGAATCTTTGAGAATGGCTCCCTGCTGATCAGTCACCTGCAGCTGTCAGATGAGGGCACCTATGAGGTGGAGATCTCCATCACCGATGAAACCTTCACCGGGGAGAAGCACATTAACCTCACCGTGGACAGTAAGTGTGCAGAACTTCCGCCGCAAACGAGCCGCTGCTCCTGCCCTCGGCACAGCCCTCCCGGAACCCCTTTGCTCTCCTCCTCATTGCAGAGAGCTTCCAGGGCAGTGCTGGGTAGCCCAGCAGGGTCCTGCAAAGGGAAGTTTGCTCCAGGTAAATGCAGAAGGAACCTCAGGAAAAGCCGTCCCTAGTCCTTAGATTTTCAGAGCCAGGTGACTTGCCGAGAGTCCATTTTACACATAAGCCCATCTGCTTTGGATTTCTCTTGCCAGCTTTGTCAGCTTCAAGTCTGGTTTTAATTGTAGTTGCTGTGAAATATTTCTGTCTGTTAATCAAATACCCAGCTTGTCTCTGATCTGTTCATATTTATGGTCCCAAAGTCCCAGGTTTGAGCTTCCGACACATTCGGCATGTTCTCCTGGTTTGAGTTCTCCGGGGAAAACGCGCTGTACAAAGTGTGCATCGAACATGGGCAAGCCCTCTTTGTGGTCCCCTTTGGGACTGCTTTCGGAGTGAAGGGTTCCAGATCAGCGCTGTAGCCCCGCGCCATGAATGCCAGAGCACAGCTGTGTATCTCCCGAGAGAGCCCCGTAGCAAGGAGAACTCTTGCAAAATGCTCAACCCCTGGGAAAGTTTGTCAGGGCTGAAGGTCTCCGGGGTATTGAAGAGCGGATGGTTGATGAATGGCTTTGCTTTGTTCCTTCCGTAAGGAGTCGCTGCTGTTCTATCTTTCCTGTTCTTTGGTACCCCGTTGCTCCTGACACTGCGCCAAGCATGCTGGGCTCATGGCAGGTTTCAGGCTGCTACGAGAAGACCAGGCTTCTGGACCAGACGTCGACTGGCCGTAGAGTTTCTGTCTCTGGCAATGGCTTTGCTTTGTTCCTTCCGTAAGGAGTCGCTGCTGTTCTATCTTTCCTGTTCTTTGGTACCCCGTTGCTCCTGACACTGCGCCAAGCATGCTGGGCTCATGGCAGGTTTCAGGCTGCTACGAGAAGACCAGGCTTCTGGACCAGACGTCGACTGGCCGTAGAGTTTCTGTCTCTGGCACATAGCAGCCTCAGAAAGTGCCACCCGTCTGTGCCTGCCAGCAGAGCAGTGCCGTCCAGGCTGCTGTTCCAGTCCTCTCTCCTCCACCACAAGGCCTGCCAGCGAATCCCTCCCAGCCACGTCGCCCTGCAGACTCCAGGGGCTCAGATTCTGCCCTCATGAAGCCTCCAGGAATGCACCCATCAAAATCACAACCTGGTTGCCTGTTCTCACCCTAGGTTGCTGGGCAGAGGGGTGTGAGCTCTGGGCATTCTGGGCACCACCAGATTGTCTGCAAACCTGCCACCCCGTCCGTGGCGACCGCCTCTGCCTGGTGATGCCATCAGCATGACCTGAGCTACAGCTGCTTGTGCTGGTTGGAAAGCTCCCGTCTCCTTCGATCTACCTGAGCCCAGAGCAGCACAGCTGCCTCCCAGCCACAGGGCACATGAGAGTCCCTGGCCAGGGGCGGCCCGTCCATATAGGCGAGCTAGGCGGTCGCCTGGGGCGCCAAGCTAAATGGGATGCCAAATGGTGGTGCGATATCACTGAGGGGTTTGGAGGTGGGGTGCCGATTGCATAGTTCGCCTCGGGCACCAGTTGCTGGCAGCCAGTCTAGGGCTGCCCCTGCCCCCGGCAGCAGCAGACTGTGATGGGCCAGCCATGCGCACGGCGACGACCTTCCTGGCCAGGCCTGATGTAATGCCAGCTGGCTGGCCCAGCCGGGTGCTGATCTGGCACACGCCTTTCCTCCTCGGAAAAGCACCCCTCTCGGGAGCTCCCCACAGTCCAAACCTGCCTAGCCTGACTGGGCTGTGGCTAGCGGGAACCGGGGGCCGAGAGGAACCATTGAGGGGCCCCGGGGGGCATAGCTAGCTTCGGGGGATTGGAAAGCAAAGGCAAAGCTGGACTGAATTTCAGGGAAGTGTCATGCCACAAGTGGTTTTCGAGGTGTAATCTGCCAAGGGAGGGGAGGGGAGCCAGGACACAGGCCTGCCTTGGCTGGGCAGGAAGAAGATGCCTCTAGCAGCCTGCGCCGGGCCGGAAGAGGAAGGATTCTGGGTTGCAGGAGACACTGGAGTTCAGTCTGTCTGTAGCCAGGAATGTTTCGCTGTGTTGGGGCAGCTCTGGTTCCCTCAGCAGCCAGCTGAGTTTCATAACAATGAAGCCTCTTGTGTTATTCCCCGAGTGTCTGTGAGCCATATCGCCCCGTCGTTAGCTCCGTGCTACTTTGCTGGCTGCAGTCGCAGGGCCTCGCCATGCTAGCAAAGGTGGGAAAGAAATGAGGCCTGACAGAGCAGACACTTGCTGCGAGTCTCTTGCAAAGTCCCCTTGAGTCAGCAGGACGACGGTCGGGGTCCCACGCCTGGTGTCTGGGACCGTCCCTGCGGCGGGGCCTTGGTGGGCTGGTGATCAGCCGCTGCTTGGCTTTGCAGAGCCCTCGGCACATGTTACACTCCCAAGGCAACGTGCTGCTGCTCGCCATTCAGTGTTCTCATTTGCTCAGCCAGCTGATTAACGTGTCACAGGCCTTGTGCCATCCCTGGTGCGGAGCGACTGGACTCACGGGGGACAGAAAGCTGCAGCCAAACAGCAAGTGTCAAGGCAGAATCAGATGGAAAAGAGGGATGTGGCCAGCCCTGGAGCTCTGCCGCCAGTGTCAGCTCTGTCAGACTACTGGTGTGACCTTGGGCAAGTCCCTTAACCGCCATGGGCTCAGGGCCCCTCTGTGCAAGGGGAAGAGAATGACCCTCTCTCTATTTGTCATGTCAGTTCTTTGGGGGCAGGGTCTGTCTGACGGTCTGTGCCTGTGCACCCCCTGGGCCATATGGCCCCACTCGCCGCTGTGGTCTCCGGGTGCAAACAAAGACCGATGCGTGAGACCTGCAGGAGGGCGCAGCGATGCCTTGCGGTCAGCGCATGCGGAGTCCCAGTGCTCTGCGCCGGGAGGACATGGGGATTCACGGCCAGAGGAAGCTCCCTGGACCCTTCTCTGCTTTGTCCGGGAGGACATGGGGATTCACAGCCAGAGGAAGCTCCCTGGACCCTTCTCTGCTTTGTTGCAGTCTGAACTGACTGGCAAGGGCCTGGTTTTCTTGTTAGTGCTGCCACATTCTGCCTCCCCAGCATCTGGTCCCATGGCAAGGCCCTGTCTGCAGCAGTCGGCATGTTGAGCCTGAAAGGGCCCTCCAAGGAATCCCCCGTGGTCACGGGCAGTCAGTGAGAGAGGCAGAGTCTCCTAGGCATGGGGTGAGCGGGGCCAGCGGGCTGTAGCGCTGCTGGGAGGTGCTGTCTCTTTCCCAGTGTTAATTGGACGTGATGTTTTCTTCTTCTTCTAGTTCCCATTTCAAAGCCTCACGTTGTCCTTGCATCCTCCACCGTGCTAGAGCTCAGCGAGCATTTCACCCTGAACTGCTCCCACGAGAACGGCACGAAGCCCTCCTATACCTGGCTGAAGGCCGGCCAGGCCCTCAGCAACGACTCGCGGCTGCTGCTCTCCCACGACCAGAAGGTGCTCACTATCACCAGGGTCCTCATGTCTGACGATGACGTGTACAGCTGCCTGGTGGAGAACCCCATCAGCAGTGGGCGCAGCCTCCCGGTAAAGCTGACCGTGTACAGTGAGTATGGATGCTTAGGGGCAGGCGGGGAGCCCGTGGGGGCATTTACATATTGTGACAAGCCCATGGAAAGCAGGGCTCAGTTGTGACCTGTGGGTGGAAATCTGCTGATAGCTCTTAAAGGGGCCCTTTGCACTTCACATCAGCGCCCGTCCAGCGGTGGAGCGGAGGGTGGGGCTGAGGGGTTTGGGTTAACAGAGCTGGTGGCCATTAAGATGGTGAGCCCCATCCGCAGCTGGCCACTCCCTTCCTGGTGCGGCTGCCTCCAGTGGTGACTGCAGTGTTGCGTCCCTCCGATCAGCCCCCTCCCTTTCCATGGGATGGAAGACAACTGAATTCCTGGCACATCCTGTTTTCCTGCCACAGCCAAACCCTGAGCCTGCTGGAAGTTAGGAGAAGAGGAAGCTACATCCCAAATTTGGTGGTCCCAGCTCTTACCGTTTAGGAGGTGTTCTTGAGCAAATGGACTCGCAGACAGGCGCCTCTAAAATATCTAGACAGACAGATACACAGGGCAGTGTCCTAACTTGGTTTACAAAGACAGATCCATGCATACAAGCGGGGTAATCGTCTCTCTCTCGCTGTAAACGTTTCTCCTGCTGCACGACAGAAAGATGCGCTCAGGCTCTCTGGCACGAAAGTGGCCAGTCGGAGCAGGGTGGGTGAGCGTAGCGAGCAGGGCACAACCCCCTAATATTCAGTAAATCGTAACTTCCCCATGACGCCTTACATGAGTCTCCTCGTCTGAAGCACAGGTCAGCTATGTCCTATTCAGCTCGTATTCTCATAAAGCCCAGGGAATGCCGGGTCACAAGCAGCACTCCGCCAGGCTGCCGGGGTGTCCTGGTGTTGGAAGGGTTGTTGAAAATAAGCGAATGGCACTGTCCGTGCTCCTGCTGCCTCTGGGTCTCTCCAGTAAACTCATGCTCATTTCAGACCTGCACACATGCAGCTCAGCTTTGCTCTGAACTCCAACTTTTCCTGACGCTAACAGCACTCAAATGGGTGCAGTTCCCACCCCAGTCTCTGATGCAAACCCCAAACATCAGCCAGGTGGCTAAGGGCTCTCTGGGATGGATTCAATCACAGGGGTCCCTTTGGGACAGTCATCCGGTGTGCTGGTCATGCCACTGAGCTCATCTACCTGCTCTCTGGGGCGCCCCACCTCCCTGTCCTGCTGGGCCAAAAGCTCTGGTCTGCCCCACCCCAGGCACAAAGTTGGGGTCACAACCCCCAGCAGAGCAACACAGACACTGAGATCAGCTCAGCTCTGGGAGGGCTCAACTCTAAGGCCATGTACAGCCCCCAGGAACAGCCCTCAAGAGGACCAAATCCCTAAGTAAATCCGTCTTATTCTGGGTAAAAGTCTCAAACCGAGAATGGTCATAAGGTGTCTGCCCCCTTTGCCAATGAAAGAGAGAGATGCACATTGGTTGCTCCCCCAGGTGACAATTATTTACACTGGGCTTGATAATAAAGAAAGGTTTTGTCAAGTATAAAAAGTAAGTTAAACTTACTAAACATAGTGTGATGCTGCTGTAAAAAAAGCAAACATGATTCTGGGATGCATTAACAGAAGTGTTGTGAGCAAGACATGAGAAGTCATTCTTCCGCTCTACTCTGCGCTGGTTAGGCCTCAGCTGGAGTCTTGTGTCCAGTTCTGGGCACCACATTTCAAGAAAGATGTGGAGAAATTGGAGAGGGTCCAGAGAAGAGCAACAAGAATGATGGAAGGTCTGGAGAACATGACCTATGAAGGAAGATTGAAAGAATTGGATTTGTTTAGTTTGGAAAGAAGACTGAGAGGGGACATGATAGCTGTTTTTGAGTATCTAAAAGGGTGTTATAAGGAGGATGGAGAAAAATTGTTCTCCTTGTCCTCTGATGACAGGACAAGAAGCAATGGGCTTAAATTGCAGCAAGGCAGGTTTAGGTTGAACATTAGGAAAAACTTCCTACCTGTCAGGAATAAATTGCTGAATTAAACGCTGGAATAAATTGCCCAGGGAGGTTGTGGAATCTCCATCTCTGGAGAGATTTAAGAGCAGGTTAAACACCTGTCAGGGATGATCTAGACGGTGCTTGGTCCTACTATGAGGGCAGGAGATTGGACTCAACGACCTCTCGAGGTCCCGTCCAGTTCTAGTGTTCTGTGATTCTACAACTTTATGATAAAAAGTAGGATTTAAGTGATTGCTGTGGATACAGACAGATCAAAGGAAGTCACTGAGCGAAGACAGACAAAACATACCAGCTAGGTCTATTACGCTAAGAAACTTCAGGGGGTAGCTGAGTTAGTCTGATAGGGTGTGTCTAGACTACAGGGTTTTGTCGACAAAAGTGGACTTTTGTCGACAAAACTATACCTGCGTCCACACTGCCTTTGAGTTATGTTGACATAACGTCAACAAAACTCAGCAGTTTTGTCGACGTATGTAAATCTCATTCTACGAGGAATAATGCCTTTTGTCGACAGAGTTCTGTCGATAGAAGGCATTATTGCATCTACACTTAAAAGAATAAGATTTAACTTTTGTTGTTGTTGGGCTATTTTTGAGAACTAGAAGAGCACACAGAGCCAAACTGCAATAAAGCTTCCTTACAACAAGGTAAGGCTCCTAACAGGATTCAAGTACAATTGTCAAAGTAACATGTGTTCAATTATACTGATTTTTAAGCTTCAAGGGGTAGCCAAGTTAGTCTGTACAGGATAAACTTAAAAAACAACAAATGGTCTGGTAGCACTTTATAGACTAACAAAACATGTAGGTGGTATCATGAGCTGTCGTGGGCACAGCCCACTTCTTCAGATGACAGGAGTCTGAAGAAGTGGGCTATGCCCACGAAAGCTCTTGATACCATCTCCGTGTTTTGTTAGTCTATAAAGTGCTACCGGACCATTTGTTGTTGTTTTTTTACTAAGAAACTTGTTACCTGCAAATTCTTATCCTAACAGTTGTTCTAATCATCTCTTTCACAAGCTAGGCAGCCTCCTAAGCCGGGCCCGATCCTTCTCTCACTCCTGTCTTAGATGTTTCCAGCAGGCATCTTGGGTGGGAAGTGGGGGTTTCCTGGCACCTGGAAACCACCCCTATTGTTTGGTTCCCCCCTTTATGTCCCTTTTGCCCAAGGTGGGAATTCTTTGTGCTCAGTTCAAACTTTTTCTTCTCTTGAGTGGCAAAGTACCAGATCCAAAATGGGTTCCTGCATCAGGTGACCTGGCCTCATGTCCTGGCAGGACCAATCACAACCCAGGCTACAGCAAAACCAGACCTATTCACAGCTCATTACTTTGAGCACTGGGCCATTACGCTGGTGTTGGTTAGGGGTTGCACGGTTCTTGAGGGTGCAGCATTTCCAGCGTTTGCCCATTGTTGTTCATTTTCCCCTCTCCGTGGTGGTCACTGTGTTGCCGCCACATCTTGTGACCTGAGCTGACTCTAGTGTTGAAGTCTCCAATAGACAGAGTTGCTTGCCTGGCGGTAGTTTGCTGATGGCACAGTTGAGTTACTGGTAGAATTAGTCCTTCTCTCCAGGGGTGGTGAGTGATGGAGCACAAAAACTAATGATGTTGGCAAAGTCTCCTGTGGCAGATATTCCTAGTGGTACGATTCATTCTGACATCTGGCCATGCAAGGTCAATGGTTCTCTGCCCCCTTCCTGAGAGCCAGACACAAGCTGGTTGGTGGGGGTGGAGGCGTAAGGTGTTGGGTCTGTTGGATTCCAGTCCTTGGCTGGAGCCATGCGTTACAATGAGTGAGCATATGCACAGAGCACTGGCCAGAAGGGCTTCTAATCCGTCAGCAACACTGCTTCTACAGAGCAAACCAAAATCACTGTCTGTCTGGCCCAGAGCAGAGCTGGGCACCCACCAAACCGCTGGACAAAGCACTGAAGTGTTCATATTCTGCCACCTGCCGCTTGCTGCCATTTCTGAGTCAAAAGAATGGGGGCTGGAGCACATGGACCAGTGAGCCTCAGACTGGTGCTTGGAGCTGCTAATGGCTCTTTATGTGGTTTTTTGCAGCACGTGGTATGTGTGATTTAATTAGTGCCCAAGCTAAGCTAGCAACCAATCAGGGTGCTTTTACTGTGTTGTTAGCCAGCTGTAGATGGTGATAATGCATGGTCAGTGATTTTGCTGTGAGAATAATATGTACACACAATATCTATAAAGCTGTTACTCACCTATTTAACTAAAAAACATAAATAGTGATTTAAAATTAATTATGGTTACTCACACTTTAATCTTACTGTTAAACAATAGAATACCATTTGAAATGTCTTACATAATTTAGATGTTTTTCTGATGTTTGATTGTTTTCAAATATAGTTCAATTACAACACAAAACATAAAGTGTACAGTGCTGATTTTATATTATTATTTTTATTACAAGCATTTGCACCGTAAAATAATATTTTTCAGTTCACCTCATACAAGTACTGTAGTGCAATCTCTATCATGAAAGTGCAACATACAAATATACATTTTTTGTTATGTAACTGCACTCACAAACAAAATGATGTAAAACTTTAGAGCCTACTATTTTTTGTTATGTAACTGAACTCACAAACAAAATGATGTAAAATTTTAGAGCCTACAAGTCCAGTCAGTCCTACTTATTGTTCAGCCAATGGCCAAGACAAACAAGTTTCTTTACATTTACAGATGATCATACTGCCCACTTCTTCTTTACTTTGTCACCTGAAAGTGGGAACAGGTGTTCACGTAACACTTTTCTAGCTGATATTGAAAGAGGTTTATGGGCCAGATGTGCTAAACATTTATGTGCCCCTTCAGGCTTCGACCACTATTCCAGTGGACATGCTTCCACGTTGATGATGCTCATTAAAAAATGTGTTAATTAAATTTGTGATTGAACTACTTGGGGAAAATGAAATATCTCCTGCTCTGTTTTACCCACATTCTGCCACATATTTCATGCGATAGCAGTCTTGAATGATGACCCAGCACATGCTGTTCATTTTAAGAACACTTTCACTGCAGATTTGGTGAAATGCAAAGAAGGTGCCCATGTGAGATTTTTAAAGACAGCTATAGCACTTGAGCCAAGATTTAAGGATCCGAAATGTCTTCCAACGTCTGAGAGGGCCGAGATGTGGAATTTACTCTTTTGAGGCTGTTGAAAACAACACTGTGCTGCAGAAACTACAGAATCTGACCCATGAGAAAAGAGACTCAACCCCCTGCCTCAGCTGGTGAAAATGACCATGCGTTAGTCTGCAGTGCTTTGGATCACTGGCAAGCGGCAGCTGTGATCAATGTGGACTCCTCTGGAATGCTGGATGAAGGGCCATAAGAATCTTCAGTGCAGTGTGTCTGGCCCGGAAGTAGCTCCAGTGCCGTGCGAATGCCTGTTCTTTCAGGGGACATTGTAAACAGGAAGTGGACAGCATTATTAGGGTTGCCAGCTTTGTAACTGCATAAAATCCAACACCCTTGTCCTGCTCCTGCCCCCAGACTCCGCCCCCACTCCCTCTGTCCCTCTCCTTCAGTTCCTGGCTCCTATTCACTGGGCTGGAGAAGAGGGTGGGACGCAGGCTGCATAGGGTTACTAACTTGGCCTGAATTCCTGGAGATTTCATCACATGACCATTATCTTGAAGTCCTATGGCAACTCCGGTTGTCTCTGGGGGCAGTAAGAGGTTCTGACTTGTGGGAGGGGGTGGTTCAGGGTGCAGCTCCGGTTGTGTGGTACTTATCTTGGGTGGATCCCGGTTGGCAGGGCTAAGGCCAGCTCCCTGGCTCTGTGCAGCTCCTGGAAGCAGTCCTCAGGTCCTGCCCCTAGGTGGAGGAGCCAGGGGCTCTGTGTGCTGCCCGTACCTGCTGGCACTACCCCTGCAGCTCCCATTTGCCTGGTTCCTGGCCAACTGGAGCTCAGAAGTGGCGCTCTCCCCCATGGCAACCCCTGCACCTACAAGCCCAACATACCGGTTGCTTCCAGGAGCAGTGACGAGCCAGGGCAGGCACGGAGCCCTGCTGGGCCGCCAACTGGACTTTACCAGTGGTGCTATCTGCAGCCGCCAAGGTCCCTTTTTCACCAGGTCTGTGTCTAGACTGGCAAGCTTTTCCGCAAAAGCACCTGCTTTTGCGGAAAAACTTGTCAGCTGTCTACACTGGCCACTTGAATATCCGCAAGAACACTGATGATCTCATGTAAGATTGTCAGTGTTCTTGCGGAAATGCTATGCTATGCTGCTCCCGTTCGGGCAAAAGCTCTCTTGCGCAAATTGCACAAGAGGGCCAGTGTAGACAACGTGGTATTGTTTTGCGCAAAAAAGCCCCGATGGCGAAAATGGCGATCGGGGCTTTCTTGCGCAAAACCGCGTCTAGATTGGCACGGACGCTTTTCCGCAAAAAGTGCTTTTGCGGAAAAGCGTCTGTGCCAATCTAGACACTCTTTTCCGCAAATACTTTTAACGGAAATACTTTTCCATTAAAAGCATTTGTGGAAAATCATGCCAGTCTAGACGTAGCCTAGGTGTTCAGGTTGAAACCAGATGCCTGGCAACCCTACGCATTGTCTCCTTCAAATGTAGGCAAAGCCGCTTGTCTGAGCGACGGGCTGAACAAGCGGGACTGGGTGGACTTGTAGGCACTAGAGATTTACATTGCTTTGGGTTTGAATGCAGGTTGATTCACTCATAATTCTACGTTTGTAAGTGAAGCTTGCATGCTGCAGACATTGCACTGGAAGGTGAATTGAAAAGGATTGTTTCTTTTGGTTTTTATAGTGCAAATATTTGTAAAAAAAATGTAAAGTGAGCAGTGTACACTTTGTATTCTGTGTTGTAACTGAAATCGATATATTTGAAAATGTAAATAACATTCAAAATATTTAAATAAATGGTATTCGATTCAATTAATCGTGATTTATGTTTAATAGCTTGAAAGGCCCAATTTTTATATCTCTCTGTGTGTGAGAGAGACAGACAGACAGACAAATTTCCTCCCGTCATGCTGCTGGAATCTGAGGAGCGCTGTGGTAAATGGCACAAGGAATTCACACGACTGTGGCTCTTTTGGGTGATGCTGATCCCTGATTTGGCTCCGGAGCCCTTCAAGTCTGCATCTCGCTGACAGAGACCCTGGCCCCCTCCCAACCCCACCTCCACAGTTCCAGGCAACGTTTGCAAGGTCCAGGGCCAGCAAAGGTTCCCTCCCAGGCAAGGGCCTTCACGGCCTCTGCAGCACCCTGTGGGTCCGACAAACGCCTGGGAAGGGATGTGCCCGGGCACTGGGCTGGGTCCTGGGGGCTCAAGCTGAAGGGGGCGAATTGTCCCTTTCTGCTCCGGTTGCCGTGCGCTGGGGCCCAGAGAGGCTGCTCCTCTGCCGCCTGTTGGGTTCCCGGGGGCCATGTGACCCCTCTGGGTGCTGGCGGGCGGACTGAGGCTCTTGCCCTGTCTGCAGAGCGCTGTGGCATGACGCTCATTCCCCCTTTCTCCTAGGACGGAGCTCGCTCTACATAATCCTCTCCACCGGGGGCATTTTCCTCCTCGTCACCTTGGTGACCGTCTGCGCCTGCTGGAAACCCGCCAAAAAGTGAGCATCACACGACACTTGAGTAAAACAGCCGTTACTTTGCTCCTTGACCCGTCCTGGGGATTGCATGGGACACAGCTCCCCCGGCTGCTCCCTGCACCCGGCCCTGGCCCACCCCGGGGACACTGCTCCCCCAGCTGCTCCCTGCACCCAGTTCCTGGCCCCACCTCAGGGACACTGCTCCCCCGGCTGCTCCCCCTGCTCTGTCAGGCCTGTCGCTCTTCGAACTCCAGAAACTCGGCGACACAGCCCACTGTGAATGAACGAATAATGCTCAGAATCCCAGCTGGGTGCAGCTCACAGTTATCTGCCTGGTGGCAGGACAGAGCAGTCTGGGGCCCACACGCTGTTCGGGGCAGCTGCGGTGCTCCACTCTCACCTCCTCACATGCCTGGGGCTGTGGGGAGGGAGGTGAGGCCACGAGCTCTGCTGGCTCCAGTCTGGGGGAGCTCCCCACACGCCCCCCGCCGGCACCAGGGCAAAGGGTCCAGCCTCCTTGCCACCCTGCCTGGCCGCCCCTTCCCAAACGCCCAGCAGGAAAGGCGCTAGAGGGGCCAGTAGCTCGCTGCCCCTGTTCCACTGGGTCCCGGGGAGCAGAATGTCTGTGTCGCTGTCCGTGACACCAGGGCGGGGCTGGCTCCCAGCAATGGGCCAGCCTTCAGAACAGAGTCCACACTGCTGCGTGCGGGGCCGTCAGCGCTAAGGCAGAGCAGGAGGGTTCCATACTCCCCAGCGCCTCTGCCCCGCCATCCCCCACAGCCTGGCTTGCCTGTGTCCTGCAGCTCTCAGAGCGCCTGGCCAGTCCCCACCCAGCTCTGGTGCACGTTTGTAAAACCCTGAAATGTTTCACATTGGAGCAGGTGAAACCCACAGCCACAGTAGGGCAGACTGGCCCCTGAAGAAGGGATCTCGTCCCAAGCCAGTTCCCAAATCCCCTTGGTCTCTCTTGCTCCTTTACTCCCTGTGCCCCCCTCAACTCCTGCGCACCAAACCTTGCTGCTGCTCCAGGTTTCCCGGTCGTTACTGCAGGAGCTGAGCAGACAGGGTCCAGCTGCCAGCCCCTTGCATCGTGCAGCCCTGGGATTTTGTTCCCTTCTGCCGGGAGAGGCCTGGGCTGTGTATGAAGCTGGGGAAACGGGCTGGGCAGCAATGCATGCATGGCCAGAGACAAGAGCACTGCAGGGACCCACACAGAGGGCCCTCTGAGCACACAAAGCACCTTGTGTGTCTTACAGAGCCAAGCCGCAGCCGGACAAGCACAGCTCCTCGGAATACCTGGACCAGAGCGAGGCGCATTTCAAGCAGGAAGGTAAGCCATTGGCCGGGGGCCCTGTCTGCTCAGCTCCCTCTCTGGGCCTGTGGCAGCCCCTCTGC